TTCGAGTAAAATGCATTGCATGATATTGTTGGGTTAGTATTTCCCCTTGCTTTGCTGTCGGTTCCTTCTGGGGGCAGGGGAGTCCTAACACACATAGGAACAAAGCTGCCTTATACCAGCACAAACTATTTGTCTATTTATTGGGAATGGGTGGGCAGGTGACACCTCCCATGCACTGAAAACACATGCAAGTGAGTGGCAGAGCTGTGCAAACTCACCCTTCCCACCTGCCCCAGCATCTGCATGTTGAGTTAGCATATGAAACAGCTCTATGTGTACAGTGGTACCTCAGTTTATGAACTTAATCCATTCCAGGAGTCCGTTCTTAAACTGAAACCGTTCTTAAACTGAGGTGCGCTTTCTTAGACCGTTGTAAAGTTCTCAAACCAGGACACTATTTCCGGTTTTGCGGAGTTCGTAAACCGAATCGTTCTTAAACAGGACTGTTCTTAAACCAAGGAACCACTGTATTTGTGTCCTCTTCAAGGAACGGAGGAATCAGACTCAGAATCCCCCTTCATGTAAAGGTGGTCTACATGGGTACATCAGCACACACACAGAGTCCCTTCACAAGCCAGCTGAATGCTTGGGTGGCAATGTGGCGTAGTAGTGGATGGGGTGAGTCAACAAGGCCCCACAATCCCCCTTGTGCATTTTTTCAACGTATGTAGGTGGTCATCCTTTTTGATTGGCGAGGACTCTCCAGGCGCTTAGTCTTTCCCATCACCTACCCAATCCTTTTAACAGGACTTGCCAGGCACTGAACTCTGAGCCTTCTGCGTTCAGAGCAGTTGATTCACCAACAAACTGTGGCACCCCTCCTCACATTATTTTCATCGACACTTTACTGAGGAGGTGTGTGTTGGCAATGCCCATGTGGTTTGGGACCCTGCCCTTTCAGGGTATGCAACTTTTTATTGCAGATAAATTGATTTAGGACAGGATAGATAAAGCTACTGCTATAGCAGTGACAGGTTTTGAAAAGACTAGGCCCTTAACCTAGTATAAAGCAGTATCATACCACCCTACTTGCACGACACAGGCCATTTTATAAGACATGTTAAATGGGTGTCTAGTGTGTATCTGCAATGCAGCCATGAGGCACTTCAGAAGTCTTTGGTTCAGTCTGGGGTTTATTGGACAGATCCCACCCTGCCTTCAACAAGTCTGGAATCTTTCCAAACGATCCCACTTCAGTTCAAGATTCACCTGAATCCACTGCAAGGTCCTAATACTAATACTAAAATGTTTTTCTTGGAGTTTTTATATCTATATAATATACTTAGTATATACTTAGTATATAACTAACAAGAGAGTTTGAAATTAGGCTTGTGACTTCATTTTTTAAATATAAAAATATATATAATATATAATAAATATAAAAATAGTGCTTAAACATATGGGTGTGATTCAACTAAGTTGCTTAGAAAAGACTCCTTGAAATAAGCATGGCTAAGTTAGGTCAAGTAATGTCAGTGGTTCTACTCTTGGTTGAAAAGCATCCAGTCCAACTGATTTCATATTCACAATGTCCTGACATTTTTCTCTCCATTTCACTATATGAAAGTTATATGTCCCAACTGTATCTACCAGGTGCCCACTATCTGACACTAGGTGTCCATTTGGCTATACAACTATTAGGTTGTTGTTTTTTTAAAAATGGCCTTGCCTAACTTGCTTCCAGAGTGTACCATTCTGAGGCTTCAGCCTTCTGGAAGAGAGTATATGGTTAAATAAGACTTAAAGAAGTAAAGCAAGCTGACAGAGCCTTTTGGGATTCCTCATGGTCCTGCAATGAGTAATAACACCACATGTTAATTGAATTCCCTGCTGTGTGGATTGAACAAGTCCCTTTCCCCTGCTATCAGGGACAGCCTGGTTGATTTATATCAGTTGTATAAGACTAGGCCGAGAATAAGAACCTGTTATTCAAAGGGCCATTTTGCAGTAGTAGTGGAACTAAGTCACCACAAGCAGCTGATTTTTGTTGCGATGCTCCTTTTATTCATTCATCATCAGTGTACATGACACGAGGAAGATCCCTGTCCCAAGGAGCTGCTCAACATGTCGATTTCTCTCATTGCCTCCTAGAAAACCTCAACATGTGAGCTGATCCAGGAGATGGTGAGCTGCGATCTTAAAGAGAACTGGAAATGGACCCACAGAAGTTGGGTGATCATGCGATAAAAATGCATCTAGACAGGAAAGGACTGCTGCTGACATTCATAAACGCTGTGGAGGTTTGTAATAAAAATAAGGATGTAAGATTGCACATTATCCTGGAAATTTAAGTCTATCCACAATAAACATTCTGCTTCATATGGGCACAGACGGAAATGTATGAATTATTCATATTAGTTATGAATGCCTGTAACACTCTAGCCATCAATATGAATTATGTTGCATGATAATTCAGCCATTTTGGGGTGTGGGTGTGAAGTGACACACAAGCTTGCGAAGGCCCTAGGCCATTTCTATTGCACTTTTATTGACACCAGCCACAGTTTGTTTGACCACTCAGTTGTGCTTTCAGGAAAAATATAGACACAGTCCAGTCATAATTTTTTTAAATGATTTTGTGTATTTATAATATTATTATTTAGAAATATTGCTTCTGAAACCAGAAATGGTATAGCTAGACACCATGGCTGCAAAAAGCCAACTGGTGTCCAACTTTATGTCCCAGTGGCTATGGCGCCAGGTGTCAATCCGAGAGGTGGTTTTAAAACCTTCATGAACGTTTATCCTAATATACACTTTTTTGGATGCAATTCTGCCCAATACATTTTTGCAAGCATTTCCCCAAACAGAATGCATTTTTGTATGTTGTTTTCACTAACATATGCATCTTCATGCAGACTTTCCCCTAATATATGCATTTTTGTACACAGTTCTGGGTTGGGGGAAGTGCATAGTGCAACATCTGGAGAAGTAGGAATTCTGAAGGACAGCTGCATTTTGGTCTATGTATTGTTGTGGGACGTGCAAATTAGGTAGGTTTTTATTCAAATAAATTTCACCCCATCTCTACTTATGCTCAAGCCAATTTAAATTTGGCCAGGTGGCAATTCTAGGTACATCTGGATATCTATTTTTTAAAAAAAGAAAGGCAGGGTGAGTAGCTTAACATTGTGTCTTACCTGTATTTTTTTTAGAAACAAATTCTCTTCTATTAAAAATAGTAGAACTAATTTAGTAGCATGTTCAAATAGGGATAATAAAAAAAATTCTGTAAGGAAGAGAAAATCTTTTGGGGCCCAATTACTGTTAATTTGTAATCCTGGAGGTCAAGTGCCTGATTAAATATTAACATAGGAGAAAGGTCACTGTCTTTTGCGATTCTCTCTGCCCTGTTTCAGTATTCCATCAGATACAAAGAGCTCTTTCAGTGTGCATTTCACGAGAGAAGAATTGTTTTGCTTGAGCCTAATCAAGGCCTGCCTTATGGTTTTCATCTTCAAAAACGAAAACCAGTCACTTGTGGTGTCATATCCATGGACGTTTTCATGGATTGGCTGGATGCAGAGACTGGTGGGACTGGTGGGAGGCACCAAGTGGGGAACCCGCATGGGAAGAAGGCTCAGAGCCAGAGGGTGGGTGGTGGGATGATGATGAGTGGTCAGAGGGAGAAGAGCAAGCAGACTGGGCGGAGGAGTTGTCAGAAGGTGAAGAGGTAACAGGGTTTAAGGAGCAGGTGGAGTCTGTGGCAGAGAGAAGTGCAGAAGCAGACACAGAAGCAGAGGCTGGATAGCAGGAAGACCAAGAGGCAGAGATGAGGCAGGCTGGTGAAGAAGCCAGGGGGTCTCCCCCTCCTGTTGAGACTAGCTCCTCTCCCCCTGGTCTCCCAGAATCAGAAGCGGTATGAAGAGGGCAGAGCAAAGACAGACAAAGCGTCGGAGTCTCGGATTGCTTGGAAAGGACCTGGGGTAGGAGGAGACTTAGGATACTGTGGGAAGGTGGGAACCTTTAGTTCTTGCAAATGCCTCATTGGGGCTAGACCTACTGGGAAGAGTTGCCACACTCACTAGGCCTGGCCTCCTGAGCTGTTTTGTTTCTTTGAATAAGGATAGTTAACTTCACTGGCACCATGTGAGTTATTGCTGACCTGCTCCTGACACCTGCCCTGACCAACGTCAATGCATCTAGTGGGTTGGTTCCTTTAAATGTTTGGATCATCAACTAGTAGGTGATACTGAGAAGCATCCAACTCCTAGTTCAGTTTCATAAGCTTCTTTTTGGGAATCAGATTCCCACCAGCTGTCTTTGGCATTCTTGACAGCAGTTGACCAACGCTGGCCGTAGGATGGCTACATCTGACTGCAAGCTCAGATTTTGGGGGACAGGCCATAGCTCAGCTGCAGACCACATCTCAGGTTCAAGTCCTGGCATTTCAAGCTAAAAGAAAAGGGGCAGACTGCTTCTACCACCACCACCACTCATTATTGATGGTGTTATTAGTCTAGGGAAGGAAGCAGACATTTCCAGTCCTGAGGCAGCTTGGGAAGTGATTTTTTTTATCAGAACCATGACAGGGGAAAGAGAGTTAAATCCTGCTCCCTGTGTCCCAGAGCCCCAATCTCTCTCTTTTGCCCTGCCCCAACAGCTGTTGCTTAAAGAACAAAAATCAGGCTTGTTCAATGCCGACATGTGTTTAGCATCACATCTAGTTCGGCCTTAATTTATTTAAACGAGCTGCATAAATCCCAACATGTTTCAGGCAAATAGCTCTCGATTAGCAAATAGAAGAGCAAATAGAGGCTACCTTTGGAGGAGGAGGAGGAGGAGGAAGAAGAAGAAGAAGAAGAAGAAGAAGAAGAAGAAGAAGAAGAAGAAGAAGAAGAAGAAGAAGAAGAAGGAGGAGGAGGAGGAGGAGGAGGAGAAGGTCTTAACAATTAAGCATTTCCCCCCTTGAAATAAACGCACACAATGAACACTGAGCAACACTTCAATGGCACATGAATAGGAATGCATTACCGTGGTATGAAGTGAATGATACTTACACCTGAGTAAGGGTGTGTAAATATAGGCTTGCAGCCCCAAACATGCAAATGAACATGCCAATAATTCTGCACAGAAAACAAAATGTAAAAATATGTACAGGGATCAGAATATATTTCCTCAAAACATAAGGAAAAACAGAAAACAAATCTCCTATGGTACAAAATGTAACTTAGGCAACAAACATATACAGAATCAAACCACGAAGGCTCTGTGAACAACAACAAAACATTTAACCCTCAAATAAGCAAGGAATGGAACAGCTTTCCGAACTCCTCACCGATCAATAAAAAAACCAGGATTCCTGGCATAGTTTCATATCAAAAGGCTTGTCTAACTGGGAATGCTTGTATAACTTAGGCCCCAAATCTCTGAAAGACTGCCTCCTTCCCAACAGACCCTGTCAGGTTTTAAGATCAGCAGGGCAGACCCTCTTGGTAGCTCCACTGCCCTCAGAAGCTAGGAATGTTGGGGGGTAGGGGAGAGGGAAATCTCTGTGGCAGCCCCCAAGTTGTGGAATCCCCTCTCCGCAGAGGCGTGTCTGGCACCTTCATAATACAGCTCTTGAAATCTGTTGGAGATGCACTTCATTGCTTTGGCTTGGACACCTGAGATGTGCTTTTGGGACCCACCCTATTCCTGTGATTTGATTATTTTTCATGTTGAATTTAAGATTGTTGCAACTCTCCCTGTTACCTCCTGGCAAAGGGTGGGTAATAAATTTAACAACAGCAGCAGCAAAGAGCATAATCATAGTTATATCCTCCATGTGAAGAGGTGGCAGGGCTACATGCTAAGTGCCTTATGGGCTGAGAAAGTTCCAAAGTACGTAGGAAACTGTGCTCCTAATGCAGCATTTTACACAAGCTTCTTGGCAGAGAGCTCTATTGGGTATTAAAACCTGTGGTCCTCCCAGACCCAAATCAATGAGTGGTGTGCGAAAGGCATGTGCCCAGGGCAGCGGGGGTGTGTGTGCATCGAAACAGCATAATGTGTGAGAAAGAGAGCATAAAACCTTTATTGCTACATTTTATGGACATTTTTCCTTCTCAGGTCCACTGGCTAATTAAAAGAGGAATTAAAAAATCAACTTGTTTTTAAGGTCTGATCTTATCAGCATTACAGTGGTACCATAGCTGTCAACGTTTCCCTTTTTTAAAGGGAAATTCCCTTATTCTAAATAGGATTCCTCACAAAGAAAAGGGGAAAGTTGACAGCTATGCAGCAGTGGGAGGCCCCATTAGCTAAAGTGGTACCTCAGGTTAAGTACAGTTTCAGATTAAGAACGGACCTCCAGAACAAATTAAGTTCTTAACCCAGGTACCACTGTATTATTATTTTTTTAAAATGTAAACTGCTTAAAAGTTGTGGTGATTAAGCTGTGTACGAATCCAGATAGACAGGTAGATAGGTAAGCAGATGAATTAAGACATATATTGCTCAATAGCCTAGTTGTAAAACAAGCCAAAACAAGAAGAAGAAAAAGGCGGAGCAGTGCCCACGTTGGTACAATCGGAAAGGTATGGTTTATTTCTATTTATTTTCTCGCATTAATTTTCTCCCTTTCTGGAGAAAATTGAGATGGCCTCAACTAGAGCCAGGGCCTTCTCGGCCGCGGCTCCAATCTGGTGGAACGCTCTGTCACAAGAGACTAGGGCCCTGCAGGACCTGACATCCTTCCGCAGGGCCTGCAAGACAGAGCTGTACCACCAGGCCTTTGGTCAGGGCGCAGCCTGACTCCCTCCTTTGGCAATCGGCAATCTGCACAGAATTTTGCTGATGGTTGCCATTAATTTGATTTTAATTTGATTTAATTAATTTTATAATGAATGTTTTTAGAATGTCAGACTATTTTGATTGTTGTTAGCCGCCCTGAGCCCAGCTTCGGCTGGGGAGGGCGGGATATAAATAAAATTTATTATTATTATTATTATTATTCTGTCATGGAATCCAAAGGGTGGTTCCCCAGTAGGCCCCCAACCAGGCACTGATCAGACCCAGACACCTATTTAGCTTCAGCAAGCCAGGGAAAGGCTTTTTACTTCTTTATTTTATTAAATTTATATATCGCCCTTCTTCACCAAGAAATCCCAGGGTGATTTGGTAATATTGCTTTGCTAATATGGCGCCCTGAGTGAAGACAAAAGTCGCACCCTCCTTCCAGTATTTCTCATTTTCACAATAATTCATTTTGATACAGTTGCTTTTAAATATTTTCACTAGGTACCTGCATAAATATAGGTATTATTATTATTATTATTATTATTATTATTATTATTATTTTGTGCCCTCTCAGCCCAGCACCCTGTACAGAGAAACCACCCTCATCACGTTAAATCCAGCACAGGTAAAATGGTAGTCTGAGTTGTCTTCATACTATACCTTGGTACCCTATTAGATAGGGACTGTTGGTTATGTATCAATCCGTTTATCATTCAACTGATGTCTTACAACAACATTAGCATAGCTCAACGGTAGTATAAAGTAGAATCAAACCCTGGTGATTCCATTTGTTTAAAAAGTTCAGTCAGAACGAGTAGCGAAAAACCTTTTCTGGAGTGCCACCGCCAGTCAGGTGAGTAGACAACTCTGCCTTTAACTAGAAATGAGACAAAGCACGAGGACAATACGGATATGTTGGGTGCAAATGCTAATCGCACATGTAAACAAGCTCAATGGGACACCTATAGTAAGTTTTGACTCTCTGGTCAGGAAGTCCTCGTCCTTTAACTGCCTCCTCATCCACTTCACCACCAGGTGGCAGTGTAGTAATTACAATCCGCTCTCTTGATTTGTATTCTTGCATCACCATAAAAAAGAGCTCTTTCCCAGACATACCGGGTAGGGCTTATATTCCTGCAGTCCTCTAGGAGGCTGTCCACCAATGATTCATCTGAACTGAATTCTGCTAAATCTGGTCTGTGCATAAATGTTTTGCTTTCTCATTTTTAAAATGAACTGTGAATACATATTTAACATTTAATGATAGGGCTTACCCGAGAAATGCCAGAGAGGCAAAATAGCCTGCATTTTGTGGGAAATGTATTAAGAATCTGAGGTATCTAGAAACAGCTTTTGGGAAAGTAGTCCAGTGTTCAGAGTCCAGGCAGAGGGGCCTAAACAGCCTGACACATATTGTGCCCCCATTAGTTTTATATGCATAGATGCTGAAGAAAAGAAACTACGGAAGAATTTATGTTGATTCATGCTTTCCAAAGCCTTAGCTTGCAGGATGGTGTTTTGATTTATTGTATGTAACAGATTTCATTAATTTTTTATTATATTAAACAAAATATTATACGCTGCATTTCAAGACAAAATCTTCCTGAGACGGCTTACATCAAACCACAATATCCATGAAACCACAATGTAAAGGAACCACTGCAATATTAAAACAGCTGCAGTTAAAACAATCTAGGACACCACATATCATTTAGTTTCAAATTTTTGTAATGGTGTAAGTTGCTTTATTATTAAGTCTCACACAAGAACCCTATTCATTTTCTCCCTATAGATACTAATTCATTGGAGAATGTGAAAATTCAGCGGAGAATGTGCACAGACACCAGGAGTTCTGCACATTCACACAGAGGCAAGGAGAATGTGCAGAACAGGAAACCACAAATAAGGCAGTTTGAACGTTGGATAGTCAGCACATATAGTCTCCAAGCGGTTCTGGAAAATGTGCACTATGGAAAAATCGCTGTCAGGCAGTATAGACATTGTCTGTTTGTCAGTGTACTGATTCTCAGCCTTCTTACCGTTTTGCTTGTGAAAAGCCCTGCCACAATCGGGAAAAATTGTACCTTTGTTGTTACCATTGCAGCAGATTAACACAGCTTCTCTTCTATGGAAACTGCATATAATTTAACAATTTGTGCATTGGACCGTCAAGGAGGAAACAGTGATGAAAAGACAATGGAAACTCATCCCAGATTTGTCTCATAAAAAAAAAAGCTTGCATCACTATGGGTTGAAAGCCAACATTAGTCCTACTCAGAGTAGACCTATTAGAAGCAGTGGGCAAGTCCACTGCATTCAGTGAATCTACTCTGCATATAACGAATCGGGGATCTCAGGCAATGCATTTACCATCTTGTTACCCAAACTGCAGGGAACTGCTGAGCTATCACTCTGAAGAGGGCACAAAATGCACTGATAAGTTTATTCATCATTAGGAAAAATGCATTGGGTTCATAAATACTGAATACAAATTGCAAAAGTAATACAAATGTTAAAGGACATGGCCTTTCATTAGATCAAATGTCAGTTCTGCTTGATTTCTTTGGTTAATAGACAGAGAACTGGTAGCGAATCAATTAATAACAAGTAAAATAGAAATTACAAATTTTGGGGGATCTACAAATGAGTGGCTGGTTGTGGTGTGTGCCTGTGCATATGTGCAGTTGCACACCGCTTTGACAGTTTATCAATTTTCTCACCTATATAAATAAATGTGTGGGAAATAACCAAATCTAAGAAACTTTACAAATTTGGTTCAAATTAAGATGATAATACAGTGATGTTGTTATAGTGGTCTAAATGGTTAATTACTGGAAGAGTCGTTTTGGAGAAGAAGCAAAGTACAAATATAGTCCTTCCTCTGAATTATATAACGATAAGGTAGAACTGAAATATTTAATTTTCTCTTTCTGTATAATACAAGAAATACAAGCAAACTATTAGAAGAGGGAGTTTACAATAATTTAACATAGACAATCTGCTGAGGATCTACACTATATCCTCATTCTGTCAATCATTGTTATAGCTTGTGTTGATGTATTTATAGGCACTTCTGTGTAATAAGTGGTAAGTATTGACCATACAACCTCTGGGTAATTGCCTCCTACATAGTTCGATGTAATGTAAAAGCTCCCATGTTTGAGCTTCATTATGCTTCCTGTGGAAAGACTGGATGTGCGATGACATTTCCCCCCAACTGTATCACATCTGGGTGTTAACACAGTGGCAGACCTCCGCGGAACGACACTAGCCAAATAACCCACCGTGCTGGGCTGCATTAGATTTTTGTGCATGTCAACTGTTTGCATTGTGATGAGCCAAAACATTACGAGGGACACTGCTGTTCCGAAAACGACATTTTCGAAACCGTTTTTCATTTTATAACTCCCGCAAGCTTAAGTGGTTGCCACCTGCAAACCCAGCTTGGTGACTCAACGCTGCTGCTCTTTTAAGCCAAAGAATTTGCAGCGAGTTTTAATGGGGAAAATTAATTGCAGAGTAAAGGGCTTGATGGCTTTAGGAAATGAGCAGCATATGTCCACATCCAATAAGAGGGATCCAGACATGCAATTGTTTGCTGCTTAGGGTAAGATTTTGTGCAAGCCCTACAATGGCAGTTAGGCCAAACCCCCTAAGCCCCACTGAATACAATATACATGCTTAGAATTGCATGCTTTAACCGCCCCACCAGAAGAAAAGCTTCTATTGGACACTAGGGAGGAAAAAGTATGAACTGAAGGGTGAAAGAAGAGAACGAAAAGCACAGACTATGCACACTTTGAGAGCAAGTCTCACAGAGAGTTGCTTCTGAGTCAACATACAAAGGACAAAGGCTGCAGAGAGTTTTCTCTGCTAGAGTTGTGCGGTCTTATTCTGCTGCTGCTGTTTTTACTTTGCATGGATCTTAATAGCCTCCAGCACCCTTTTTTTTTAGGCTGATAGGTGATTACAGTGGTGCCTCGCAAGACGAAAAGAATCCGTTCCGTGATTCTCTTCATCTAGCGGTTTTTTCGTCTTGTGAAGCAACCCCATTAGCGGCTTAGCGGATTAGCGCTATTAGCGGCTTAGCAGCTATTAAAGGCTTAGCGGCTGAGCTGCTAAAAGGCTATTAGCGGCTTAGCGGCTTAGAAAAAGGGGGGAAAGCGGAAAAAAAATGGCAAGACTCGCAAGACATTTTCGTCTTGCGAAGCAAGCCCATAGGGAAATTCGTCTTGTGAAGCAACTCAAAAACGGAAAATCCTTTCGTCTAGCGGGTTTTCCGTCTTGCGAGGCATTCGTCTTACGGGGCACCACTGTACTAGGTTTGTTTGATAATCATGATTTTACAGAGGTTGGAGTGGGAATGGCTTGAATGTATAGGGGTAATAGAGTGTGGGGGGGTGAGGACTGTCAGACGTGCTTATCTCTCTTAGGATATTCTAAGTCTGGGGTCAGCAAATTTACCGCGCCTCGGGCCGGACTCTCCAGCACCGATCGCGCGGTGGGCCAGAGGGCGGGGGAGCGCGTGCCCATACGCGTGTGCACACGCTATTTCCGGCACACTTCCGGGTCAGAGGAGCACCGGAAACAGCTTGTGCACATGTGCACAGGACTCCTCTTACCCGGATGTGCACCAGAAATAATGCTTGCGCATGCGCCCAAGTTATTTTGGGTGCTCCTCTGACCTGGAAATGGGCAGCCGCGCAGCACAGTGCCGGTAAGAGCGGGCAGTGGGGGTCACCGTGGCCTGGATAAACAAGTCCCTTGGGTCTTATCCAGCCCGTGGGCCTTAGTTTGGAGACCTCTGTTCTAAGTTTTGTCTGTCTCCTCCTCCTTCCTGAGTTCTACAAAGGCGAAAGTGAGATGAAGGATGAGTTAGCAGTGCCAACGCCTGGACTGGTTGTAAGTAACAGGGCAGGCTGAGAGTAGTGGGGCAGTTTTGCACTTGCCTCATGGGCCAGCTGCCACTGAGTACAAGTCCACTCTGCTCAACTTCCTGTTTTCAAAGAAGGCAACCTACAATACCCCAAAGAGGGGGAAAGAAAAGCATTGCATACAATGGTCTGGAGGAGGCTGGGATCCAGCAGAGGCTCCTACTGGAGTATGGGGGCAGGCCAGGGCGATGTGTCCCATTTTGCCACTTGAGGGGAAATGGGCAGTGCTGCTTTGCCCTGCAACTGCCACCACTGCCACCACCACCTCCCTGCTCCTGCCGCTGCCATGCAAGTGAGCTCTTGCCCCCAATTCACATAACATCTTGTGCACTCCACAAGCTTTTGCTTGAAATGAACACAATCTTGCCTCCAAATGGTGCTTCTCCGCTGATGGCAGGGCTGGCGGGGCACCCCTGGGTGATGCTTAAGCGGCCTGAAGCAGAGGCCTCACTCTGTCTAATAGCTTGGCATGCTCTGGGGGCAGGCTGCTACTGGCCCTTGCACTCTCAAGCTGTTTCAGAGGGTTCGCCAGCTCTCTGGAACAGACTTTCCAGAGGCAAAGGGGGGGGGGAGGGGAAGGCCAGATCCACTAGTGTCCTATAAGCAAAACTCTACTCACAGGATGCTCCCTCCAGTGAAAACTTAGGACCTAAGCCACAAGAACTATGTTGTCATATCCTTTCATAAATGCATCAAACAGGGAGAGGCTTCAAACATTATTTAATGTGCCTGTACAACCAGGAGAGAGGGAGGATAATGGACAGGGTTGCATTTTTCTTCCTTTCTGGCACAGATCCCTGGGAAAGGACTGCAGCACATTGGTAGGGCCACTGCTCTGTATCCAAAAGGTCCCAGGTTCAATCCTCGGCATCGCCAAATAGTAGTAGTAGGGAAACCCCTGCTTAAAATCCTGGAGAGCTGGTGCTGGTTAGAAAATAATTCTGAGCTAGATGCGGGACTATAGAGCGCCCCGCTATCCCATCTCAGACCATGCTTTTTAAAGCTCTGTTCATACATAGGTAGGTAGTGCAATAATTTTAATAGCTCTTTTTTTTTTTACCTCCTCGTTTCA